TTATTATAACTTCTAGATTAATTTGACTATTTATTCAAGCTTTTGATCCATCAAAAACATACTTGAAACCACTTAGCTTAACATCAATTTGAGACATTCACTTCAACTCTGTTCTGAGTATTGAAAGCTATAAATGTTTATAAGAGAAAGCCTTGATCAATGTCATTCCAATATTAGCATGAATACTAACACGTTGTATTTTTAGTCATATGTTAATTAGGACTTTCCTAGCTACCCAGTTCCAAACTGGCAAAATAAGCAGCTCTCAGCAGTGACATTCATTTTATTAATTCATTTTAATTTGCTCATAAGTATCAACATTTTAAAAAGATCGACAACCATATGGAAGATAGTAAAGCTGGTTTGAGGGTTTTAATCTGATCTATTGACAATTTGAATGACTGGCTTTTCAGGAGACGATAGCTGCAGAGAAGTTCTACGGGTCATTGGTGGAAAATGTAGACGCACTACTGGGGCAGATGGGTGCTACTGATCTTGGCTGTCGGGAGAGAGCCGTGTGTTCCCTGTACGGCGATCCCTTTAAACATACGCCGTATAGTAACTTAGTTTCTGGACACCTCAGCAAGTAAGTATTGGTACCATTAAAACATAGAAAAGGTCTTTTTATTACTACTTCTGAAGTCACAAATCTTTAGCTTCTTGGTAGTATTCTTAAATTAGTAAAGTGGTTGCTGGGCAACTCACCCTTTGTGTGATCCATAAATTGTTGTTCCGTGTCATCGTGTGATGTGCATATGAAATCGTATGTTTGTAAACGCACCCGTTACACAGGAGAAAATCCTAGAGTGAAGCAACGTTATTAAAAAAAAAGACCTAGAATTTTGAATCAGGCCTATCTATAAGATAATGTTCTAAGGACTTCGGTATAAACACTGTTTTCGTATTACCTATAATATTGCATAACGTAATAAACTTCCACTAGTCAATTTGGATTAGACGATCAACAAACAACTCCAATACCATAAGACATGTCAATACTTGTCCTACATGTTTACATTCCATATTATTATATGAAGCAGCTGCTCCCATCAATATTGTCCCCCATTTGCTCACGACTGTTCCACTGTGCACATAAACACGGTATTTGTGCAAAATGACAGTAATCCACTAGGCACGTGTCATTACCATCTGTCATTCGTCACGGTCGATGATTATTACGAGGTGTAGTGCTTTACTGATCGTGAGGAAGTCATTGAAGAGAGCAATTTTCAAGGAAACACTTATTGGAATGTTTACTTTAAAATAATATTTAACCTAAAGTCAAATTAAAATTAAATTAAGTTCATTCACTAAGGTGACCATTTTATTGTACTTTGCCACACACTAGGATTTTCTCCTGTGTCGTGGGTGCGTTTCCAAAGATACAAATTCACATAGGCAGGGAAACAACCTACAGCCGTAACCACAATTTTTTTCCGTGAAAAGTTTTGTTCCGTGCGGTAATGCGCCCTGCCGCTACACCAACAGAGCAGTCAGTTTTTAGTAGCTTAAAAAAATACATTACTCGTATTAAAACATTTATATTTACAGTTCTTTCTTTAAAATTTTCGATGCCTGTGGTTTGCTTCATAAATATTATTCTCAAAGTCTCTTCTATAGATTTTGTTCATGTATCTTTAAAAGGCAAAGCCTCATTACCGTTCCAACCGTCGTCAACGATGCAAAGAAAACAATAAAGTTATTAACCTCTTTCTGTATATCTCAATGCATTATTTTGTGATTATAATCTTACCTTGACTTTAATTCTATGTGATCTAGTATCCTACATTATGCCTTATCATTCTTTAAATCAAATGTGATCTAAATTAAAATTATTATCAATACTATTAGATTTACTTATATTAAAGAGAGCTAAGAGGTTCAGACAGATTTTCTAATATTATTATGATTTTTTTAAAGTTCAAAGTAAACATCTTTATTCTAACTAAACTGTAATCAAATACGTTTAAAACGTCAACATGGAATAATAAATAGTCTATCATTCTGTTACTGAATCCTTCTTTTCATCTCCAAATCACTGTTTCATCAATATTTTTTTCTTGTTATAATAAAATCACTTATCTTCTTTACTTTCATCTCGTCTTTTAATCAAAAATTCTAAATCATTTATTCCAACTAAATCATGATTAAGTACTTTTGAAACGTCCAAATAGTATAATAGTCTGTTAGTCTGTTCGCTAGTGAAGCTAGGTGCTCGTTCCAAATTGCAGATTCGAATGGAGAAGAACGAGCAAGATAATCCATCGTTCCATCTCTAATTTTTTTAAATTATCATTTCAACCTTTTAATTTAGTAAGCAAACGATATCCATAATAATTTAATCAAGAAAATCTGTCCCAACTGGATTGCCAAAGATGTTCACATACCTATCTCGTTAGATCAAGTTTTTTTTTCTTATTCAACATAGTTATTTTAACATACACTGTTTCATTGATCCATTGACCCAATTTTAATACAAATCGATTCTGGAAAAATTTACCGGCTTTCAAATGCTTTCATTTTTTGTCTCAACCTTTCTAGGTGTAAAATTTATACATTCTTAATCAACCGGTTTGAGTCCGGATTGGTGATGGATATCAATAATGGTGGCATTAAGGGCAATCCCAAAGTATCATTGGTGTAACCAGTTTTATCAATCGTTTCTTAAACAATTAATTATTTAGTATATCATGTACCTACCTAGATGTAAATAATTTATTAATTCATTACCTTATAGGCACGGAGTTAATTTATAAGTTCAAATTTTTAATTATTAAAAATTAAAAAGAAAAGAAAAAAGTTACATTTAATATGAATTTGGAGAAATTAATAAGCGAGTTTCGTTTGTTTTTTTTTTATAAATACCTACATATTTTTATTTGCCGTTACAATTTGGATAACATAATATATTTTATGAAACAAACATTCTTAGTTCATTTTTCATACCTAGTTCATACCCAAGAAGAATCTAACTATTGATATATAGTTCGATTCTTCTTGGTAATCAAAAAATCAACTAATGGAAGTCTTGACTTTTAAGGAAAAATACATCAGAGATTTATTTTTCCTGTCTCAACTAATATTCAACGTCGACCCACCTACATTTATATTATTTTCCATTTTACAGGGATTCCAACGAGCTGGTACCAGCTGGTGACAGCATGATGGCCATTAACTACTACAGATACGTTCAGGCGGCCCGCGACGGACAGGAACAGAAAGACTGTGTGACTTTATACCCTAACTGTGAGATAGACTTCAATAAAAATAGAAAATGAATTAATTACTTCATAAAAATATTACAATAAATAAAAAAATATTAATTCATTTTTGTAAAAATAGAATATTGTACTATGGTTTGAAAGTATTCAATGGGGAAAGATATTTTTGTACATTGAATAAAATAAAATATAGTTACAATTTATTTTCGTGAACAGTTTTATAAAAAATAAAATGTCATTAACAACAAAAATGTACATACATACTTAGTTAAAATATAATGAAACTATTCTTTATTACAATTTCAAAAGGTGCTAAATTTTATATTTTGTTTTTTGTAATTATAATTAGATAGATATAAAGTCTAAATTATTTATTTAAAATAATTATAAATGAGCCATGTTTTCTATTTATATCTTAGTTATATATTTTTCGTAAAACTTCGATGTATATTGGAATCTACGGAACTATAAGTGGAATATTTTACCCGATAACATCTTCTGTTTCACACGATTACTTTTATTTAGTAAAGGACAGAAGATGATTTGGGTAGGTATTTACATAAAGTATCATAGTCTTCTTTAATGTAGGTACGAAGGCATTGAGTGCATTTATAGAAATTCCTACATTTTGCATTTACTATGGAGTATAGTTCTGACAGCTACGTCCAAAACATAGTTTTAGTAGCAGACATTATTTATTTTTAATATTAAGCAATAACTGGAGACTGGCTTTGATTCGATTCATAATACATTTCTTAAAACTACAACTGATATATAATAAATAAAACTATATTTATTTTAACTGTAATAAAATTAATATTTAAAAAAAAAATATATTTTTTCATAAAACTTGTAAATTATAATTACATTTTTGTTTTAATGAGTCACTCGGAGTCAGTCAGGTGAATCATCATTAATTTATTGCTCTAGATAGATGTAGTACCACCAAGTCACTAGGACATTAGTATTTATTTATTATTTTAAATTAAAATGAAAAAATTGCTCAATAAATTTCTTTTAATTTAATTTGATTTAACAATAATTTATGTTTGTTACGATTATTGTAGAAAATTGTATTTATATTTTTTGTTAATATACGATAACAATTTATTTTTTGTATTTTATTTTATTTTATAAATATGTTGATGTTATGTTTTGCTATTGGCTGTATTAAAAACAAGAGAAGATGTTTTGATACCTGGTACTGGTACATCATTGAGATACTAGACCTAATCATTCTAGTATATTGAATGATTAAGTATTTAGATCATGAAGAAGGACAAGAAGTAATCAGGCTTTAGTTTTTGCCATTGTTTGAAAACGTATGACGTCGAAAATTAACTTATTTATACAAGAAGTTTCAATAGAAAATTTTCCAATGACGTATAAAAATGTTATAAAATATAACGATTTATAAATTACATGAGAAGTTAAAAAAACTATTTAATCATTGGTTCATTTGCACATTTTTATTAATTTATTCAAAAAACATCAAAGTAAATTATATTTTGGACCTTGATTTAAATGCGTCAAGTGAACATTTTGAATAAGAAATAAAAACTTTTTTTAAGTTTTGTTTTCTATTTCATTGTATTCGTAGAAAGATTAGATTATACAGGTAGTTAATTACATCAAAAACTAAAAATAAAAAAACCATAACAAATTTTTATTATTATTATTTATTTCAAAACAACATTTATCGATAATTTAAAATAATTATTAACATTATTTTCTATTATTATATATATATCACCAACACACTAAACTTGTAAAATAGTTTCAATTTCTTCTCACAATTCTTATCGGCGCTGTAGTAGCTTTTAGTACCATGTCAACTTTAAATCTCATATCGTTTACATTTGATATTATTTTATACTTTCGAAGGAGATGAGAGAGAGTCGTCTTCATTGAAACAGTTGCGTAAGTTTTGCCTAAAAGAAAAAAAAAGATTCAATAATAAATAGACTAACAACTAATTTTGAACGTCAAACAAAGCTTAAAGATAAAAAGTGTCAGTCTGTCCTCTTAATTATTTTTATGGAATGGAATGGATTAATGGAGCTATTTGCTTGAACGGTGTAGATTTCGATGGAAAGGAACGAGTTACTCTCTTTTGTGTTGTGTTGTGTTTTAATGTCAGAAATCGTCAATCAATACTCAGCCTTTTCCGTGTGAGGAAAGCCTGAGTTATCTTTGTTCAGGACCCATAAACTATGATAGCATTTAGGCTGATGATGATGACTTTTAAAACATGTTATAGAAATAATGACTTACCTATACACGATCTTTTTCCTAGACTAAAGCCATAGAAAGCGTTGTTCCCCACAGCTGTTACGCTTGGATCCAGCCATCGTTCCGGTCTAAACGCTTCAACATCGTCTCCAAATATAGGACTCCTGTGGGTTCCTCGAGCAAGGATCACTACTTGACTATCAGCTCTCATTGTGTAGTTTTCTGAAACACCCATAAATAATTCAGATACGGTTTTGGTACGGTTAGGCTGGGTTAGTCACAAAAGACAAAAATATCCTCAAATCCCTGAACCTCAAAAACCCGACAGCAGACAAGTGACCCTTCGGTATTTATGGATTAGTCCATAAATACTGTTACTGAGCAGCGTCCTGCCAACTTATTTGCCGCTATATCCCATAATATAGGGTAAGTCCAAAACAATTTATGTATAACCTTTACAGAGTGTCCTGATGAACGAAGAGTAAATGATACCACAATATACGGGCTAATAGGGTATATTATATGTCAATAGGTTCACACACAATAAAAAAAAACAAAAAAGATGTACCTTATCAACGGTAACGAAACCATAGCGCGATCTATCGAGAGTTGGGACAACATATTTACGCAATTTTAAGTTAAACTCGATTCGAAATTCTATTGATCATGCTATGGGTTTGAGCGCAACTACGAACAATTAAATTACTGCGTTATAATGGTACCAGATATTAAATGCATTATTGTGTTTAAGAGAGACCTTTCTCTTTCAATGTACTTACTCAGCTTAACATCTCTATCGACATATCTCAGCAGTGCTGGACCAATCGGTAACACTCGGAGAGCCTCCTTGATAACAGCCTCAGTATACACCAGTCGTTTGATATCATCCTTTTCAATATCTCTGTCTGGACCTAGAACTTCTACTATTCTGGAAAAAAGGAAATATAAATTAAAATTGTTGAGTCCTCCTTGAAGTGAAGCTGTTTGTCTTGTTTCTTAAACTTTTTTTCTCACACCATCAAATGCAAATTGAGGATTGCTTTCAAATAATAATTTTGTTATAACTTTATCCCACTAACTGGATTCACTGATTGTTAGTTGTTTCGACGAAAATAAGTCAGTTCAATCAAACTAATACCACGGCCTCACAGAAAACCGGCGTGAAACAACCACAGCATTGTGTTTCGCCATGTGGAGTGAGTTTACCGGATGCCCAATCAAAATCCCAGAAAGCCTAATCTATAAAAGGTCGGCACCGTACTCTTGACTCTTCCGGTGTCCTGAGCGGTGCCTTACCGCCCCATCTGATAAAAAAAGGTTTATTTGTGGAATAATTGAAAAGAAAAGCTTTGGCCATTTTATAACTCATACTCACTCTTCATACATCTTTTCTTGCACTTCAGGGTACGTTCCAAGCAGGACTAGCAGACAAGTTAAACAATTGGACGTAGTATCAAATCCTGCGACTATAGCTGTGTCCACTTCTTCTTTTATCTCCTTATCCGTAAGAGTATCATCATTCTTTAGTTCCAGTAGCAAACTCATGAATGGCTTGTATCTAGTATCTGCAAATATAATTTTGTGGATGATATTGAATGTGGATGGATTTTGCGGGACAAGATGAGATGAGTGTAAAAGATATTTCAGCCCAAGCAATACGGCTTCACATAAAACGAGGGTAAAACACACTTGCGTTGTGTTTCTCCGGAAGAGTAAGCTTTGAACTATGACCCATCTCCTGCCATTCCTAATCCCCAAAAGGTCAACAACGATTACTGAGAATTGGCTTTGCTCGGTTCGGACCTTAAACGACAGCTCGAAGACTATTTCTCGACAGTGGCACTTAGGATCCATTCCAGAAACCAAGCAACTATTTCAAAAATATGACTTCTAACGTACTCACTTGTCGTCGACCATTCATTAGCTTTCTTCTCGTTGGCTGTTTTCATTTCTGCCTTTTTCCTCTCTATCACCTTGGAAATGAGAAAAGTATCATAAATACGCAATATCATAAGCACATATTTACCTATTAACCAATTTTTCATGCTAATAAGGCGTCATGAACAAAATAGTGTGTATTTTATTTTAGAATAAATTATTGATATTTAAAACATAGAACGAAAATTTTTCATGCGCACTTACGTAAGTAAATACTTTTAGAGAAACTATAGACTATTATAATATTTTCATAAATGTATTGTACATGGTAATTGTTGGTCGATAGTTTTCTGAAAATCGTGATGAACGATCGTCGTGTGTAATAACTACCTACTAAGGCATACAAAATTGATTAAGATTACCTATATGAACTGTTTTACCTAAGTGAACCGTTTTTTATCAATTAATGATACTCGTGTCTGCTTGTAACATCACGACTTTCTTATCTAAGTACGTACATATTAGAGTTCATTTTTATATCGTCGAGTCTTTTATCTTTAAGAGAATCGTCGCGAGGCAAAATGATGCCACATTGTGTTTTGAGTCAAATAAATTAATGATTAAACCAATTGCCATAAATCCTGGACTCCGTGATGCTACTGACAACATTTTGGAAACATCCAAAAAATACTAACTATAATACTTTGCCCAACGAGAAAACCGAAACCCAGACACCTTGGCCGGCAGTTGCGCAAATATAACTGTATTTACGAAGCAGACTACATCTATAACATTAAAATCCAAGTGTGGGAGAGCTATGCTTTGGGACGAATGATTCGGCTCGACTCATCAACCACAACCTTGTATTTCAGCGTGTGAGTGTAGTTACTGAAGGCCCAATCCTATCCTTCCCCTCCCTAATCCCTTCCCAATACCGAAATCTCCCAAACCGTAATTCACAAAAGATCGCCAAAATCTGGAAATCGTTGAAGGAAATCTAAGCTGGTTATGGACATCTTGTGATCGCTATTTATCAATTATAAAACCAACCTGATTAGCCATATCATCTAACTTCTTAATCAAATGATCCTGCTTCTTCTTCAAGCCAGTCAGTCTGAAGATCAGGTCACTATGTAGCAAAAAGTTCTGGAATCTGTACACCACCATATTCATAACCTGATCTGATGATTCCATGTACTTCTCTGCAAACTCTTTCACGCTGTCATCAGCTATTCCGAACGCAGTTCCTGCAAATATAAGATGTTAATATAATGAAAAAGTAGATTTATTTATTTGGCAATTATATTTGATGAGGGCTGGGCTGGTTAAGGAATTGGTATCTTTTCCTTCAAGGTTATAAATACTGACGTACTTCGTATGTAGCTAAGACTCATTAGCTAAGAAAATTATATGACTATCAATTTTATTACAGGCATTCTTCTACAAAGAAGAATGGGAAAAATTGGTAGACACCCATTTATCATAGGACACGCTGATCCATAATGGATTAATACTTGTAGATGTACTGGGTCACTTAATTAGCTTTAGCAATACAGCCTTCAAAAAATAAAACATCAGGACTTTGGGTTAAATTATAAGGTCGGAAACGATTTAACCATGTACTTAGCAAAAACCAAAACATGAACAATTGAAATCCTTTGGGCTTATTTTAATCAATTATTTTTATCCAAATATTTTTCTGTTGAGGGGTTTTGACATTCTGTGTCGCCCTAGGTGCGGCGAGAGGGAGTGCCAGATCCTTACTGATTAAAACCCACATCGTTCCTGGGCCGGTGTCGCGGTACATTACTCTGCATACACCTCTCCCCTCTCCCCCCACACATACACAATCCCGGTTGAAACAAAATGCTAAACTTATCATTAATCCAACACGTTTTATTTTCAAATCATTATCCATAGCTAATACTCACGGCTAAACGTTTGGAACGATATGATTCTCAAATAGGGAGAGATCTCAAAGGGTCCCTGTTCTACGTGGACCTCCAGCTCGCTGACTAGCTGTTTTGCCATGTGGTTGAAGATGCTTAGGAAGTTATGGATCACAGGCACTGTGAATGCTGGGTTCAGGAGTTTGCGATGTCGCTGCCAGAATTCACCTAAGATTCAGAGAAGAATGTTTATTATGAATATGAAACAAACAAGCTAAACTAAATAAAGTCCTCCTCAACATAATCTTTTACCTTCCCCCATCCCTTCAAAATCCCTAAATCTGCAAAACCCTAATCACTCCTCCCTTGTACTCCTCTGATGTTACATTATGGCCAACGGTGCTGCCGGCTTCGACTCTAATTTTTATTGATTTAAAAATAAATAAGACTTACCTGAAGATGTGAGCAATCCATTGCCCAGCCAGGTCCTCACGTAATCATAAATGAAATGTTTGTGGAGGCAGGTGTTGGCCACTGTCAGGGCATCATCGGGGTCTGTTACCACTGTACATAAAATTAATAAGTGGTTAACTATGCTTTATTAAAATTAGAAATGGAGTTAACACTACAGAGGTCCATCCCATCCCGAGCAGTGCGTAGCGTTCCGCGCGCGCCTCAAAGAGCCAATAGATCACCACAGACGGGGCTCTATAGGGCTGATGAGTCGGGGTTGCGGGTTAAGCAATCAGTTATCGTGGCCTCGGCCCAGATCAGGGGAAAGTAAGAGTGTGACACTCCCTCCCGCACTACCCTGGGTTACCCGATTCCCGGAGAACTCATTTGATGATTTTCCCCTCACAAAAATTAGGTTCATCCCATCTGCCGTGGTTGCAGCTGATCTGCAACCACGGCAGATGGGAATGCTGGTCAAGGGGTGCAATACTCGTAATTTACCACTCCGCTCCTTCTCCTGCTCTGGAAGGTAGTTTTTAGTCAGTGACCCCCTTATTACAAAACAAGATTTATCTTTAGTCAGGATAGATTTAGACTTTATTCTCACCTCCTTTCAATTAGAAATACAAAAACTGGCTCAATGGTTTAAACCTAGACTAAAGAAAACTTTATTTTGAAATAGGTCCATAAGAGTCTGACACTCTCTCTCATCCCAGCCAGGACGAGAGAAACCATTTGATGATTTTCCGAGATACTGTTATAATGAACGAATGATTAATGAGCCATTTGTACTTACAGTAATAGATTTGAGTTCCAATCTTCGCATGTAGGACCCCACCACTTTCCACACATTTCTCGGACATCTCTTTTAAAATTTCCCATATTTCTAGAAAGAATTGGTAACTTAGTAAGTAAGAATAATTATGTTAATTAAGTTGGAACATAACTTAAAACCTACGAACTATCATAACGTAACATATTAAATAATAGAAAAAGAAACTGGGATGTTGAAATTGACCTTAGCCGGGGCTAATTGCTAAAACGCAATAACCCAAGAAATGAAAATAAATAACATGTCAGTGATGTCAAACTTTTTCTTTGCCTTCTCTAAAGTAACTACTCTAAATAATTAAATTAAAAAACTAAATCAATCATAACAGAAAATTATTAGCAACGAAATCTTTTTAGACATCACATCCTTAGCTCAATTAGCCTTTAAGTTTAAACTGGCTGCTTAACCAGGATGATACCCAGATGTTTTAATTGAATTATTAAATGTCTCAAGCCATTAGTTGAAACGCAATTGTCTATCATCAACAGACAGAGAATAACCAAAATGGTAAACTTATTCTAAACCAGCTAAGGCCCAAACCATTCAAATCATTATCAGAAGTAAACAAGCAACAGGCTAAGTCTGTTTAACGATACCATTTACCAAAAAAGTCTAGATCATTAAGAGCTGATTTTTCAACAGTCATATACCTAATTGTTATCTGAGGAATACACTTGTTGCTGTCACTGTCTTATGCAAACATTCTGTCGCGATTCATCACAATTATTCACCAGGTAACTTTCATCTAACCATCGAAAAATCAGCCCTAAATGAAATTAAAGCTAATTTCCAATCGTTACGTCACAGATCGCTTGATTTAACGGCTACTGACTATTAGGTTGAAGCTGTGTTGCTACTAGAATAGTAGGTTAGGTTTTGGGTAAGAACTTATAACGGCCGAGAAATCAATATGCTAACGCAAAAAAACAGCTACCTAAATAGTGCTGTGATCAAAGGGCGAGCTGATTGATGGGACAGCTTTTTTAACAAATAAATATAAAAATAAACTCAAGTGTACATACTTTCAGTATCTCCGCTGATTAGATGTGTGTGTCCCAAGATCGGCAGTTCTCCAGGGTAAGCTGGTGGCAACGGATGAGCTGGTCTCAGTCGACGTACCAGCACCACGCATGCGCACCACACCACAAACAATAATATTACACTGAGCATCTCAATTACTATTACCACAACTAAACAAAACGCGATATTTTATTCCTTTAAATAACCTTGGAAATTATGAAAAAAAAAAAGCATTGAAATTGTAAAATATTTTCGTACACTCATTTATAGTCAAATTCTTATAACATCGTTGGTTGAATATTATTAAGTTTTACAATTACAAATAAAAAAAAATCACTGAAAACCATTATTTTATTTTAGTGCTTCGTTATATTGAAGTGCACATGAAGTTTGATTTAATTTGTTCTGTAATAAAATTGATGGGTAGACGTAAAATTTATACCCTTACTTTGTAGAAACTATATTGTGGTATGGCATGATTCATTAATATTATCGAGACGTTCGATAGGTACTATCCCTATTTTTACTTATAAACTTAAATCTTTTTATAAAAAAAGATCAATAATGTTTTATTTTAATAAATAACAGATGCTTAGATATATTTTATGGATAATTAACTCTAAGGTATGAAATAATAACATTATTATGTGAGTATTTTTCATTTAGGTATTTGTTTTTGGGACGAATTCGCTCCCAAAACAACAGCAACTCCTATGTTTTCTATAGTATTATTTACTATTCCCACGTATACTTTTTATCACTTATTATTTTTTGTGTTTTATATAACCTTTAATACGCTGTTAAAAGGTCGACCTGCAACGAACTGGCACAAAATCCAATAATTTTAAATTTAACACACCTTCTTTCTTCAACTTCTTATTTATGTATTAAAAGGAATCTTGGCAATAATATTTATATAGATTACTAGCTACTCTGCCGCGGTTTCACCCGCATTATTAGGCTTCATTTGATCGTAGCGTGATGTTTGAAAGCCTATAGCATTCGGCAACATTGTAGCTATCTATCAGTGGATGAATTACTGCAATTCCTGTAGATTTTTTCTATAAAAACTATTCTTAGTCCTTTCTCGAGTTCCAAACTATGTCTGTACGAAATTTCACAGACATCGGTTCATTACTTTAGGCGTGAAGAAAAGACAGACAGAGTTACTTTTGCATTTTTTAATTAGTTCGGAAGTTTGTGGGTTGGGTGTCCATAGGCGGCGCTGATTGCTTACGATCAGGTCTGCCAGTTCGCCGACCTTTGCCATAAAAAAATATCACCTTTGATACATTTAGAAACGTCAAGACATGAACCAATACATATTTTTCGGTGAGGGAATCGAATCTAAACCATTATCATCATTAAATGTTATGCTTGTCACTTGTCTTTCTTAGGGATGGGCACTCTTGGTCGTGTTAGAGGGAGTTTTAGACTCTTACTGACTAAAAGCCACCAAAATACTTCTGATCCAAGCCGGGGTTCATTGTGCTTTCCCAGAAACCTCAGTCAAGCGACACTTGGAAATTAATAAGCGAAGATAATCGCTGTTTCAAAACGGAGTATTATCACAAAAAAAACTTCAAATAAAGGTATATTTTTGAAATATTTATTTTCTTCTGCTTTCAATACTGATGTCGTGTCCAGAGATTGGTTTCAACAAGAAGTCGAAGTTCAGCTTCAAATGGCTCATGTCTGCCTTCACACGGTAATGGCGTAAGAAATGTGATAACGTCACTTTCATTGATATCATGGCGTATGTTCTACCTGAAAGGAAAATATTTTTATTGTTATAAGAATCATTTTTTTCCACATTTCCCCATATCTATCACACAAATATCTCATTCAGAAAATTATTATTATTGTTAAAAATATTTTTTTTTTCGACTTCCAAAAAGGAAGATGGTTTCCAATTCGACCGTATATAGGTATATGCTTTAGTTAATGTTTGTTCGCCGATATCTCCGTTTTTTATAAACCGATTTTGATAATTCTTCTTTTGTTGGAAAGGAGATAGTCTCAGAATGGTCTCATGATAAGGAAACCAGGATCTAATGATGGAAGACCAGAGAAATCAAAAATTGTAGGGGCAAGTAGCGCTTTTGCATGTTATTTTTGTAGGCTTAGATTTTCTATAATACTACAAGTTGCAAACACTATTTTGTTATAAATATAATTGTGAAGCCAATATTAGCAATGTAGCTGTTGTACTCGAAGCCAAGGCGCTTTAAGTATTATAGTTTGTGTGTGTGTGTAAACTGCGTGTGCGTAAACTTAATTCTCTTGAATAAGTCATTATTTTCAATAAATAACTAAGGACTGGATTAAGTTATCATTAAATTTTTTTTTTTTTATGTAATAGGTCGGCAAACGAGCCGACGGATTACCTGATGGTAAGCAATCAGCGCCGCCCATGGACACTCGCAACGGAGGAGTTACGAGTGCGTTGCCGATCTTTTAGGGATTAGGGATTTGGAGATTTAGGGATTGAGGAGGGATTGGGTAATATAATGTCGTGGTGGCCCAGAGGTTAATGTGCCCGCTTCTCATGCATGAGGGTGCGGGTTCGAAACCTGGCAAGTACCAATGTGACTTTTTCCGAGTCATATGTACTTTCTATGATTATATAGACACCAGACAACAAAAGTGTTATGCCCATGTATTTATATTTCTCCTTAAGATTCTTAAGTTTAATTCTTGTAATATTTTTATCAATAACAACAAACCTATACAAGCTCGCTTCCCCAAGCCAAATGGGGCATATTCTTTACTGTTCCTAAAGTCTCCATGCAACCATCTTCCAGGTCTGAATTTATCTGGTTCTGGTCCCCAGGTAGGATCGAGGTGAGTGGCAGCCATTGGGAAGATGACGCAGTAACTACCAGCGGGCATTGTGTAGTTTTCTGGAAGGAAAAATAGAATTTACAACTGGATTTTGAAGAAGATTGACAAATGATAAAATCTTTAAATATATTATATAAATTTTAATATATTTACTTATTTTCTATCACTAACAACTATTTTAACAGATAATGTATCTCAATAGTGTATTTTGCTATAATACAAACTTAACAATTCAAAACAAATTAAAAAGAATACAATGATAGTACAAATGCTGTAGAGTATCTTGAGCAAAAAAAAAATATCCAAGCACTTTGATAAAAATAAGTCTTTTAAAGTTGGTATGGGATGCACAAACTACATAAATTGTAAGAGATGGGAAAAAATGGAGGAAGTAGAAATAAAGAGGCCACGTCTAGGCAAACGTAGTGTAGGGCGCCCTCCAGCTAGATGGACAGACGATAACGCAGGGTGGTTGGCAGTAGTTGGATTAAAAGAGCTGAACATCGACCTTAGTGGCGTGCAATTGGGGAGGCCTATGTCCAGCAGAAGATGGAATAAGGCTGATGATGATGATGATGATGAGAAATAAAGAAATGGCGACAACAGAATACTCACTCAGCTTAACATCAGTTTCAACAGTTCTAAACAAGGATGGTACCGAAGGAAACAGCCGAAGAGACTCCATTATGACTGCATTTGTGTAAACCAATTTATTTATATCATCCTTCTCCACATCCCTGTCTGGTCCTAGAATTTCTAGAAGCCTGGAAGTACATTTATGATGAGTAAGCTGTGTGGCGGTCACGTCATCACATCATTAGCCTAAAAGGGTTCCACTGCTGAGCAAAAGCCTTTTCGCACAAAGGGAAGGTTTGAGCATATCACCACGATTGCTTAAAGCAAATTGTAAGTCCAGGTTTCCTCACGATGTTTTCCTTCACTGTATGCCAGTGGTGTCTAAATAATCATAAAAAGTACAGCCAGTATTGTCCAGCCACTGAACCAAACGTGCAGTTATATTAGTGAGGTAATAGTAGTTTTTTTCTAATCTCTTAAATTGTAATCCGTAATAGAATTGAATATTAAATTATTTTTTTGCAAATCATTAAATATGAAAAAGGAACAACCATTTTTTTCAAATTTTTCATGCTTACCTATGTTATCGCTTGGGAGCAATCTCTTTTAAGTTATTATTACTATTATTTTGTAGTTACTATGCAATTAATCTTTTGTTTTTAGCCTATTTTCTAACCTCATTACAATTAGGCATGATGAAGTGTTATCGACATCAGTGTGGGATAGCCATGCTTCGGGATGAATGGAATGTTTTCAAGTCAATCGAAGTAAAACCATGGTCACACAAACCCGGCATAAAATAATATAATTATGTAGGGACTGACTGCGCGGTTGACGCAATGCTGGGCAACTGGATGCTGTGCAACGTCACAGGTTCGATTCCCGCATGGCACTAATTGTTGTTCCGGGTCTGGGTGTCATGTGTATATTTGTAAACGCACCCACGACACAAATAAAAATCCAAGTTTTGCCGTGCGAATATGATTATCGGAGGCCTCATCCTCTTGTCGATCCATAATCCCCAAATTCCCCAAATCCGCAACATCGGCAAAGGACTTGCAACCTTCTTGTGTTGCAGGTATCCGTGAGCGGTGCCAATTGCTTCCCATCAAGTGATCCCCATTTATCTTCTCATAATTCAATAAAAAACCTACTTACTCTTCGTACACCTTTTCCTGTTCCTCAGGATGAGCACCAACAAGCAACAATATAAACGTCAGCTGATTGGAAGTAGTATCATATCCTGCAGCTATAATCGTGTCAGTCTCTTCTCTGATCTCCTCATCAGTGAAGGCACCGTTAGAAGAAAGGTCCAGTAGAAGATCCAGAAACGGTCTATATTTAATACCTGAAATGAAATTGGCATCTATTAAATTGGCAATTAATTGTCGAATGTTAAATCCTATAGTATGGATCCCCATCCCTAGTTACTTGAAAAAGATCTCACACGTAAATTATACACTTTCTATTTTGAACAAACGGATGAATAAGGTCCAGAACTTAATATTTAAAAGATATTTTTTATGGATTTAGGGTAAAGTCTCGTATTGTAGTATATATAATTTTTAGTCCAATCGGTTGAATATATCTGCTTCAAAAGTTAGTAGCAAGATTTCATTTAACATTGTTGTTTGATTAAAAATCAGTGAAAAAATATTAATGTAGGTAAGCAACCTGAAGTTTGAGATTCAATGATTCTTCCTGCACCCTTATTTTTGAGAGCAGCTTTTTTTCGTTGCAGAACCTGTAAAAAGGAGATCTCAGTTATTCCTTCAAATACCTACTGCAGAGATAAATGTGTAATAATCGCAAAGGCCTCTTCTCAGAATGTGTGAGAAGCTTAGCGAATGCGATTCCATATTCAAAATTTATGACTATAGAAGGAATAAGCAAGGGACGCGAGTGGCGACTTGTCGATTGACATCTATAAGTATTTGAAGACTCAGTGGTCATGTGACACTTACTAACTGTCTAAACTGGTATTTGGTAACGAAATAAAGCTTGTCACATTACAACGACAGCAGTAGCCATAGGTTAAGCGTAATAATAATATTCAATTGGTCGAGGCTGTACCCGAACAATACTCGTAACAGTAACCGAACATAATGTCTACGTACAATATCGGTATTTACTTTCGAAAAAAATCATTCAAGAATTACTTTTCCCACACTAGGAGAAACGAGAAGGAGTATCTCTTACTGACATAAAATCACCCCATTCCTGGCCGCTTTATTTTCGTACCAACGTACCAAATTATTGTGGAGACTGTTCCTACATGACTATTAAATATCTTACTGTATTAGTCATAGCATGTAAAGTATCCACTAGTTCTTGTTCCTTCTTCTTCAGTCCTGTCAATTTCCATATGACGTCACTGAGGAGCCAGACCTTCACGACCCTGCTGATCAGCAACGTCAATAAATTATCAACAGAAGCCATATACTTCGCAGTGAAGTTCACGTCATCTACGGCTTCAATACCTAATGTGCCAACTGAAATGGAAAGATGAATAATATTATAAACACTGTTGTTTTTTGTTGGGTCTTAGTTTTAGATTTATTTTGGAGGCTTCACCCGCGTTGTATGTTGACAAAAAGTGTCCTATTCTGGAGTGTATCCTATGCCTGTTCTAAATTTCATTCAGATCCGTCCAGCCGTTTTGGCGTAATTGAGTAACAAACATCCAAACAACGTAACTTTCGCATTTATAATATTAGAAGAATAACTTGCTGCACCTCCATGTTTAGATATTTAAATGGTTTTCGTTTGATTGAGACAGTCGTTGCTTGTCTTCCACCAAAAGACCGCGTCGAACCTCATCGTTCAGCTGGCTTTGCCCAGGCGACGCCCAAATTGTAGACACGCTCGAACGCATTCGCCCTCAGATCCGTTGGTGTTTTTTCAAGTATTAGGATAGCAAACAAGCATACTGAACGTCTTATTACAAGCAATCATTGGATGGATTCCCATAACTATTCAGAAAAGTTCCCGTAACTATTCAGAAAAGTTCCCGTAACTATTCAGAAAAGTTACAAATGTGTTGATAAATTTGAGAAATCGATCTTCCAGAAACTTTGCTCACACGGCGTGAGACAATGCCAATGTTGTTTGATGCCATCTTCATTCGTAAGGCATAGCTCTTTCAATATAACAATATCTACCTATATTGACGATTTAGTTAATATTATAGCAAAACTGTAGAAGACAGTAAAAATCTATACGAAAGTCATACTAACCACTAAAAGTTTCCAAGGCGTTCAATTTTAAATACATAAACGGATCAAAGAGGCCTTTCCCGGCGTGTTTTTCCATAGAACTAGCCAATTTCTTCGCTTGACTGTTGAATACATCTAAAAAGCTGTGAATTATGGGCAATGTGAACGCCGGACTCAGTAACTTGCGATGACGCTTCCAAATGTCTCCTGTGAAAATAAAATAGCAACGTTATTGTAAGATGCAGGTTGCTATTAATTTTTGCGTTAAAAAGCAAGTCATGGAAGACTTTTCTTTCTCAAAACTCCTACAATGGAATTACAGCTTGGGTGATATTAAAAACAATTTATATGGTAAAGACAGAAGTGAGAAAACAAAGACCCCTGTACCAGTACCCAGTAGATAAGTTTTATTTTAAGGTTTTTTTGTTTAGATGGGAAAATTAGTACATAACTACTCTCGACCTGTACCGATATGGCGAAAAGGAGTGTCAGATTCTTACTGAATAAAAACCACCCTGTTCCTTCTCTTGCTAAAAGCCGAGGTCGTGGCTTTACTTTAAAAAAGTGATTGCATTAGGAGGGTAAATCATCGATGACGTGTCTCGCCCTGGGTGGGCTGAAAACAACTCCCTAACTTCTCCTGTCCCTGTAAGTTTTCAGTTCATACAAAGTATTACTGCGTTTTGTTCGATGAAAGTTGCTACTTCAGCAATGTCGGTCATTTCGCGCGCGCCTCATTGAGGCAATAGACCACTAGAGACGGGGCCCTATAGAGCTGATATTCAGCCGGGGTTGCGGGGTAAGCGCAATGAGGCTCCGCGACCTCGGCACAGAGCAGGAGAAGGAACAGGGGGGTTTTGAGTCAGTAAGAGTCTGACACTCCGTCCCGCCCGGCCCTGGGCGGGAGAAGTCATTTGATGATTTTCCCCTCACTACAAAAGGCTCCGGCTGAGCCCCAGTAGATAAGGTAGGTTGAGGATGAGGCGAATTTTGCTACATGGTACCTAAGTATGGTATTAGTGTGTTTATGTGATAAAAAATGTCTTATCTGTCTAAATAAAAATTAAGCAATTTTTATAAAAAATGAAAGGTAAAATAAAGTGGATATTCTAAGTGACATACCTGATGACAGTATCAGCCCCTCTCCCATCCAAACTTTAGCTAAATCAAAGGCGTAATGTTTCTTCGGACACTGATTGCTAGCGGTCAACGCGTCTTGAGGATCTGTTATTACTGGAATAGGAGAAAATCTCTATACATAAGCGTAAGAAGCAGCACTATCGGGTCTCTAGCCAAAATAATTATAGGCTTTAATATTTTCAGAAGATGTGGCTTTTACTCAAGCAAATTATGAATACAACAGTGAGTTTAGGTATATTCACTGATTTTAGTCTTTCATATTTTTTTTATATACATTGCTCCACATTTGAATTTTCTCCTATGTCGTGGGTGGGTTTCTATAAAACACCCATCCTAAACAAAGATTTGTAGATCACACAAAGTGTTAATCCATGTGGGAATCGAACCCGCGTCATGTTGTACAGTAACCAGTTAAGTACCCAGCCCAACCAGTCCTAATTTAATCTCTAATAGCAACAAAATTTAAATCGATTTAACTTCTCCAATAGTTTCATATTTTGTTATTGTTTTCGCTATTGCATTATTCCTATTACTCTGGACAAAAAGAAACAAGTGAAAAAATTATGTAGGTATAGTCAGTAAAAATTTTAATCATTGTTATGACTTTTATATAAAACTTATTTGGTGGCGTGTAACAGCTACTTAGTAGAAGATTAACAAAATAATGTACGCAATGATTACCGTACCTTTGTACATAATACGTGCAAAAAAATAAATTTACAGTCTAAAAATTACTACTTGTCTAAAAATTTTCCAAAGGAATAGGTAAAAACCCACATTCAGTGTGGTAAAAAAATACTTAAATTGGATAATGCAGTTTTTTGAGTGTCGGTAATTTCATCATTATGGCTAGTATTTCACACACAATTACTGTTGATGTCGCATTAGCAAAACCATGACTTAGGCCTTATATGACCTATTAAGGAAGATGTCATCATCAGCCGGATGACGTTCACTGCTGGACAAATGCCTCCCACTTAGTTCTCCACGCCGAACGACAAGTCTTCACTTGCAGACATTGGCTTCCATCGACTCTGACGTGGTAGTCGGTCTATCTAGCAGGAGGTCTTCCCACGCTGCGGCTTCCAGTCCGTGGTCACCACTCGAGCAGTTTTTTGACACATCGGCCGTCAGTCCTTCGAGCGATGTGGCCTGCCCATTGCGACTACTACTGGTAGATTAAAATCTGACTGGGAGCCATGTCGACGAATCTGGTTCTTTGGCGAATTTTCATAATGCGGATTTTGTCGCGCAATTAAACTCCAAGCATAGCTCTCTCCATCGCTCGCTGAGCAAGTAAGTGTCTCTGACAGCAAGATGTAGCATGGAATTAAATGTAATTTTTCCCTTCGAGCAAGTCCGATCAAATGGTCTTGATTACTTCAATAAAATCTCAGTTTCGATTTTATTGTTATCATGTTTTTATTGTAATGTTCACAATCAACATACAAATTTTTCCCTCCTCAATCTCTAAATCCCCAGAACCCTAATCCTCTCTCTTGAGGATTCAAAAGATCGACAACGCACTTGTAACTCTTCCGACGTTGCGGGTCTTCATTGGCGGCGCTGATTGCTTACAATTAGGTAATCCGATTGTCCGTTTGCAGTACTTCCAAATAAAAAAAATTGTCAGCTACAGCTTGAACCAGGACTCTTTGAGCTCCTTCTTCATTTCTTCTCTTCTTCATCATCCAGCTATTTTATAAGTAGATTCCTCACCACTGAGTACAACCCTCTTCTCAGAAGGAGATGGTGACTTTTCACCACGCTTGTTTAAGGCGTTTTGGCGACCCCAAACTATTAGAACTTATAAATCCAAGTTTCTTCAAAGTCAAAATAAAAATCTTTTATATTAACTAAACTATAAATAGGTTCTTTTGAAACGACAAAATAAATAGTCACCTCACGGTTTTTCCATGGTGCTTAAATAATAAAATTTAAAAAGTACATTTTCAAGTGTGGAGAATCATGCTTCGGCACGAATGGGTCGGCTCGACCGGAGTGATACCACGGCCTCACAGAAAACCGACGTGAAACAACCACAGTGTTGTGTTTCGCCGTGTGAGTGAGGTTACCGGAGGCCCAATCCTTCCCCTTCCCAATCCCTCCCCAATTCCTAAATCTCCAAATCCCTAATCCCTAAAAGGTCGGCAACACACTCGTAACTCCTCCGTTGCGGGTGTCCATGGGCGGCGCTGATTGCTTACCATCAGGTAATCCGTCTGCTCGTTTGCCGACTTATTACAGAAAAAAAAATTTACTCGATACAAATCACATTATAAGATTTGGGAAGCCGCAAGCCGTTAACCGGCTCGCTATAAAGGATTATGATTGTGAATAAAGGATGTGAAATGTGGATAAAGGATTGTGCTTACCGTAATATAACTCACTGCCGAAATGCGCATGAACCACACCGCCTAGCTTTGCGCACTCTTCAGCCTTGGTCTTGAGGAAATCCCAACGTCCTAGAATAAATTACATTCACATTTTAGTAAATACTAGCTTCCGTCCGCGGATTCACCCGCGTGGCATGCTGAAAAAAATTAGCCTATGTCCTATTCCGGAGTGTATCCTATGTCTGTGCCAAATTTCATCTAAGTCCGTCCGGCCGTTTTGGCGTGATTGAGTAACAAACATCCAAACATCGTAACTTTCGCATTTATAATATTAGTAAGACTAGGAAAGATTCTTATAAAAAATAATGCGTTATAACTATCGCAAGGACATACTAAATTAATTAAAATTAGCAGCCGGTCAATTTGGTTTTTAGCGAACCGCCATGACATTGTATTGTTCGCTATTTATGTAGCAATGTAAACTTTTATTTTAATTTTCTTTAAATAATATCAGATTCAGTGACGTCACTCTTGCTATATACATACACAGATTATATAGATAGTTATCTGATTCTATAGTATACTTGAAATAACTGCCAAAACCAAAAATCTAATTTCATTTTGTTATTTTGTTAAAATATCGATGGACTAATCTATTTTTGAATTTGAATTAGATTAAGCGTGATTGAAAACTGGCTTTTTGGTTGGCATTTGAGAATACTAGTAGTTATATATTTAATTAATTCTTTAATTTGTGTGCCTTTGCAAGGCCATGTGTTTTTAATTAATCTACCAAATGGTGGTTTGTCTATTTCGATTTTTTTGATTCCATTTTGTGGTCTGAAATTGTATTTTTGGAATTTTTAAGCTTCTTAAATTACATTTTTTGTGTTATTATAGTTTAAGGAACTACACCAACAACTAATTTAGTTTACTATCGATCTCTCTCTTTAGATGTTATTTTCAAGTTTTTTTTTTCGTTGCGTAATTCGTAAAATGAATTACAATTTCTAAATATTGTTATTTGAATGATGAGGTTCTCTGTAATTGAAAGAGCACACATTATATTCTATAATTGATCCAGGCAGAGTTAAGATTGCACTAAATTACTTCAAATGTATAAAAATATTCATCATCATCATCATCATCATCAGGCTACAAGTACCCACTGCTGAGCAATTAATGCCTCCTCCCACACGGAGTAGATTTGTGTATTATTTAGCACACTTTTTCAAGGCGAAGTGGCAACTACAAACTTGTGACTAGAAATGATAAGACCAGGGTGGCCATCCTCAGCCATCACTGGTTGTCAGGGACGTCTAAATAAATTTTGAAAATCCATACCCGTATAAATCGAAGAGAGTCACATTGGTAATACCCACTTCACAGACAAAGAAGTCAATATTGTACGGTGTGTCTGTTCAATGTTGAGTTCAGAAAAAGTCACAATGGTAATTGCCTCGAACCCATGCCCCCATGCATGAGTAGCTGGTGCCTTAACCTCAGGAACAACACCACATATGTAGGAGTGAATCCAAAAAAAATATTCTTTAGGACCAATGCGTGTTATACGAAACCAGAATAATATATTTTTTGATAATTATGCTGAACAAGTGTGGGAGAGCTGATGCTTCGGCACGAATAGATCGGCTCGACCTCGACCAGATTAGACCGTGAAACAACCACATCGTTGTGTTTTATCATGTGAATGAGGTTACCAGAGGTCCAGGTCCAATCCGTCCCCTCATCCAATCTCTAGATCCCCAAAACCCTAATCCCAAAAAGGTGGGCAACACACTTCTCCGTTGTTAGGAGTTTCCAAGGGCGGTGTTGGTTGCTTACTATCAGGAAATCCGTCTGTAAATCAACCGTCCTATCACATACAAAATAGTAATAATAATACTTACGAGAATAGTTTTTCAGCACCTGATGGGTAATTCCAATGATTGGTAGCGCTCCAGTCATGGCTGGAGGCAGGGGATACTTGGGTCGACCTCGGCCATACTTCGACCAGACACTGGCAATGCACACCACACAAACGAACAGCAGTAAGCTCAACATTGTACGGAGACGACCATCAGTCTAAACAATACTGAGAGGCTAAACGATTTAAATACTAACATTAGCGGCTTCTGTTCTATAGTTTGAACATAATTATGGATAAGAACTGTCATATTATATTATTTACCTACTAAGTAGTTTCTTGTGATTTGCTGATTTGCTTAGGAAAAGTGACTGACTCTTTATGTAGGTAGATGTTGCTTTTTTATAACAATGATTTTTTAAACGTTGTGGTGGCACGGAGGTTAAGGCATCTCATGCATTGCGTTTTAAATCTGGCAAGTGCTAATGTGACTTTTTTCGAGTTCTGTGATTATTCAGACACCACTGACATACGATGAAAGAAAACATCGTGAGAAACCTATAAAATTTCTAATTACAAGGTTGAAATCGCCATTCCGACTTGAGCAGGTTTGGTAATTAATGGTGAAACCCTGTGAGAAGAGGCCTTTGCTCAGCAACGGGTACTTATAGGTAGACTGATGATGATAATGAGTTTTCTTTGTCTCCCTAGATCGTTTCTACTTCTTCTGCTTTTCTGCTTTTAAAACCAAATACCAAATCAATAAGGCAATCAAAGTAAAATAAAGAAAAGAGCATATTTATTATTTTGTTATTAATTATTTCACAATAGATTTCTGGGTTAATTAAACTTTACAGGTTCACTTATGTGCCAACATTGTTACATCCATATTTAGCCAGATAGAAAAGAAAAAAGTTCCAAGTACGGTAGTTTCCAACAAGTCAAATTCAAAACTTTAATCCAAATGTCAAAAACGATACTTTTCTATGAAATTTGTACGAAAAACTGAATTATGACGTCATAATATTTTTGCGTCAAATAGCTTACTTATTTCTTGATAATTAGCTACGAAATATTTAATACTTAGTGTATCGATCGATCGATGAATAAAAGTATAGTTATTTTTCAATATTTTATTGTATTGAAACGTCGAATTAATTTACTTTTGACCTACAAAACTGCCCAGTCAGAGCTGACTATCCATGCATCGCCTGACACAACCATGTTGCAAGGAATCGAACGCCAATGCTACTGCCAATAAGACTTTATGGTAAGGTAATAGAGTAAGCAGTAGCTTGTCAGTATATAGAAAAGGAATAAACCGCAGATTTAAGACTGCTACTGACTGATTGAAGACTGCTGCTGCTGCTGTGGCAAAAGACTCATGGGCTTCAACTGATTTTTTTTATGTACCTAATACAGCGCCAAACTAGCATACACATTACGCAATATTAAACAATCGGCGTTCCCTATGAACGGGTGTTCATAGGGAACGCCGATTGTTGCCAACACCAAAAGAAATTTAGGGTCATTTGAGAAAGAATAATTTAGGGGTTGGGGAGGGATGTAGGAGAGGAAAGACTGGGCCTCTGGTTACCTTACTCATACGGCGAAACACAACGCTGTGGTTGTTTCACTCAGATTTTTTTTAAAACACTCTGGTCGAGTAAGCCTTTTCGCGCCGAAGCATGACTCTCCCACATTTAACTTTTTAGCTTTAATTATTTTCAAAAGACAAGCCTCGTTTTTGGTTTTTCGCAATATACCTAATATGACCTAAGCCACATCTTCCTGATTTGCCACGAACATCAACAAAAGATTAAAGGTTAATAACATTCGCACAATGCGTTAGAAAAAGCATGGAAGAGTCTAGATAATAAACAGGCTCATTAGCAGACACACAAGAACCATAATCGATTATAGTGCTTACGTCTATTGGAATTATTTTTTGCAAAAATCCCCTACAATAAACATAATGGGTTTTTCTGTTGATCCTTATGATTAATTTTTATTGTTTTTATGTTCTTGCATACCTATACATATAATATTGGAAAGTATCTTTGAAGGAAGTCAATTGGTATACTCAATACTCAATATATTTATTTCATTCCACAATGTGAACTTAGGTGGTAATAAGGATTTACATAAGTATATAAATCCTACAGCTCACAATGCTCCTAAACTAATATATATATTAGTTTAGGAGCATTGTGGGCCCTGCCGGGCCTAACAATATTAGTATTTTTTTATGAGGAGGGCTAGTATAAATATATGTTTACAATTTTTCATAATTTTTATGTAGGTAGGCTTATATAACTTATAACTAATTGAGTACAAATACATTATAATAGCGTTTATGGATTAAAAGTTTTTTTTTTTTATTTATTTATCAAAATATTTTATTTTTGTTAATTTTTAATGTCATCTGGTAATTTATTATATATTTTACCTGCCATTATTAAAGTGCTTGTGGGGTGTATTTTTAGCTTAGAACCTGGTAGGATTAGTCTATTTTTGTGTCGTAGGGTGTAGTGAGTCTATGTGTTTTCGCGTATAATGTAGAGTTTTTCATTATTTCTAACAAATTTACACATTTCCAGGATGAATATACAAGATAGTCTTAGAAGGTTGAGTTCTTGGAAATGGGGTTTGCTGCTCTCTATGTTGTCTATGTTAACTAGTATTTGGTATTAGTCGTTTTTGGAGTATAAAGTGTTTGTGCGTCTGTGCTATTTCCCCATAAAATTACGCCGTCGTTCAACCGTGCCAAAGCAGTGAAGAGGTTTGTTGATTTTTTTATTTCACTGAGGGCGTAGCCAAATTTTGACAACTTAGACTTGATTTTTTAATGTGTGATTTCCAATTTAAATTTGCATCTATGGATAGGCCGAGTAGGTTGAATTCTTTAACGGTTTCTATTTTTGTATTATTGTAAATAAATTTTATATCTAAAGGCGTTTTCTGATGTGGGTGGAAGGTCATGATTTTAGTTTTTTTTTAATTTATTTCAAGGTTATGTTCCATAAGACACAATGCACAATTTGATGACATACCATCCATGGTATTATTTTATTGAATATATCTGTAAGTACTCCGGTTAGGTTGATATTATCATGGCAAGAATTTAGTACTGAGATATCATCGGCAAATAGAACACACGACTCATTTAGGATTGTAGGGAGGTCGTCGTAAAAAATGATTATAAACAAACTGTTATTGGATGCCTATCCAATAACAGTCCCTTGGGGGATGGAGGCATTAATTTGTTTACTTTCTGACCGGATGTGTTGGATTTGTTTAGCATGTTAGTTGCAGTATTCTACTTCGACTTCTTGTTCTCTATTTTCCAAATATGATTTGAACCATTCATAAGGTTTTCCACGGATCCCTATTTCTTGTAGCTTGTTAAGTAGGATGTCGAATTGAACCTTATCGTAAGCTTTTGTCATGTCTAACAGTATACCGACGGCATATTTTTTCTTATCGATTATATTAATGGCTTCCTGGATAAAGTTATATACTGCTCGAATGGTAGAGTGGTTTTTTCGGAAACCATTCTGGGATTCAAAATTTATATTTTTCACAAAAGGAATAGACACATGGCTTTATCGAATACTTTCGAGGCTGTAGGTAAAAGAGCAATAGGGCGGTAATTAGAAGGGTCGGTTTTAGAGTCTTTTTTGTGGATTGGCTTTATAACGGCTTTCCTTTGGTAGTTAGGAAATCTTCCGTCGTCAAAAGACTGATTGACTAGCAAGTAAAATGGTAGGGTTAGCTCGTCTGCACACTGTTTGACTAGGGTTGGTGGTATTTCATCTATTCCAAAGCTGTTTCTATTTTTAAGGTTTTTCAATATTATTGTGACGGAAAAGTGGTTCAAACTCTTTGACATCATGACATCAGTCGCCCGGACTCTGCTGGAGAGGAACGCCGATAACTTAACTCCGTGGACGCTGTCATTTAAGTGCAATAGAAAGTCTGAAAACCGGTATTAGTGTTTCATTTCATCCAATCCCGTAACCCAAGCCCGCATAGTCAGGAACGTGACTTCATGCACGTAACATTATATTTATTTCACTGGGACCTACTGTACTAAGGAACATGGTATTTTCTGTGCGGTGGGTCACAGAGAAATCCTCCTCCGCCTCGCGGTTTTTTGCCGGGGATTATATCATGGATGATTATATCAGCTAGGGTCATCATCTGATGGGAATTTATGAGTACTGTCCCGGCCCTCCGGCCCAGAGTCCGATAAGGAATGTCGTGGTTTTTATCAGTAGGAGTCCTGCACTCGTTTTCGCCCCACCCAGGTAAAACCCGGAAGGAATTTAAATGATTTTCTCCAATAAAAAGGCTTTCGAAATATAACCCTACTTACACAGACTTTTTTTATGATATTGAGTTTAATGTACTGATACATAAGATGACTATTTATTTGCATCTTAAAAATAATAAAGCTAAAAAACAAAATACACTTAGTGTAGTAATTTCTCTTCAAAGAGAACGCACTTTTCAATATCTACCAATGAACATACAAAAATGGATTTATTCTGTCATCAATCGTCCTTGAGAAAGAAACAATGCACAAAATCCAACCACACCTAATTGAAAACGTAATTTTCAGTACACTACAGCCGTTCGATACTTCAGCACGTACGTCAAAACATTCGGTCAGTAGCTCGCCTAAAAGTTTCGAAAATCTGAATATTTTGTAAATAAGCCTTTTGTTATACACCGTTACGTATTACTTGACATAATGCACAGCCATCTTGCCTTGGATTTGCTGTTTTGTATAGTGCTGGTAAGACATTTTGATTTTTCTTATTTCCTTCTTATTCATCGATGATATGAATTGTTTCTTTCTTTGTTTTCCGGTTTTCTTCCGGTGTATAGTTTTAATGTGGTTCTGTAGATTGTAGTTGTTTGTTAGTTTTGGTTTTTTCATATTTTGATCTAATTCTAATTTACTGCACGTCTGGTGCAGTGGCTGCGGCGTAACGTGTCGCGGCTTCGATTCCCACATGAAACAAATCATTGTGTGATCCACAAATTGTTTTTCCGGTTTGGGTGTGTCGTGTGTGAAATTGGGTGTAGGCACAGAAGAAAACTTAGTGTGTGGCAAAGTTAAAAAACGGTTACAAATCAATTGTACGGCTTGTTTCAAGTTTTGTAGATACAAAATCTCGTAACAGTGTCATTCCTTTTG